CAGCCCGCTCCTTCTGAGCGCTAACAAATGACAAACCCCGGCTCGGCGCGGCCCCGCCGCCGGAGAGGCTGCAGGGACGGCAGATTGCCTTCCCGAGGGGGTGGCGGTGGGGGGGGGCCGCTGTCACGCCGCTTTTTGCCAACCCCGTCTAAAATAATTCACAGGAGCGCAGGGAGGAAGACGACGGAGGTCGAGGAGGGGGGTGGGGAGGGAGGGGAGGGCGGCCGTCTGCGGGGTTCAGCGCCCGCGGAGGGCAAAGGGGAGGCCGGGGTGTCCCGGCAGGGCAGAGCCCCCCGCCCCCGTCTCGGAGGTCAGCGGAGAGCAGTGCGCTGTTGGCCGCGACCGCGGGAAGGTCGCGTCGGAAGAGGAGTGGGGAACCCACTGCCACAAGGGGTTCAATAAAAGGCCGATAAATGAGGCAGGAGAAGGCGCTGCGGGGCTGCTGGAGGAGGCGGGGGCAGAGGAAGGCCGTGCTACCCCAAAGACCTTCCCGGGATCCAGGGCTGGCAGAGGTGACCCGGGAGACACCTGGAAGGGAGCAGGGGGTGCCCACAGGGGGTGCCCACCCAGCGGCACGGCACGGCGGGGGGCCGGGGATGGCAGTATGGAGAACCCAATGGTGGTTCTGGGATGGGGCTGAGCCCCGGGTGCTGCCCCCAGGTCACGTACCACCCCCCCATCACTATCCCCTGCCCCCCCTGGTACAGCACAGCAGAGACCTTCTGCAAAGCGAATAGCGATCCCTTCCCCCTGGGAAACAAAATCTCCAGCCTGCGCATCTCTCTCTCTACTTCTTGCAGAGCTTGGCTACCCTTCAGGGCTGGCTGCAGTGAGGAAGTAGGGAAAGGGGAGAAAAACGATATTAAAAACTAGGGAAAGGAAGGAAAAGGCCTGGAAGAAAAGGACCCTAGTGTGAAAAATGAGGCCTGGATGGGCTCTGCTGGCTGTTGAGGCCTGGCACAGCACAACCCTCCTGGTTGGAGGGCAACCAAGCTGAGACATGTTCCTGCTCCATCTGCAGGTGTTCCCAGGGGCACAGCTGGGACTGGGACAGGCAGAACCCCAAAAACCACTCCGCAACTTTGGAGCCTGAGTGCACTCACCAGTCAGAGCAAAGAGCTCAAAGGCTGAAAGTTGGGGAGTGAGGGAGGCATTTGCAGATGATCTGGGCCCTGTGACAGAAGCCTGCATAGTTATTGTCCTCCGTCTGCTCCACACCCATACACATAGATACATGTATATGCTGGATGTGCATGTATACCCTTATACACACACTGCTCTGCAGAGCTGGGCAGGTGTGGCTGGTGATTAACATTTTTTGGAGAAAACACAGCACGTGGCTCACACGCCGTCTTCCATCGTGCCAGCATCACCATACCTGCAGTCGACTTTGCATGATGCTCCCCACCCCCGCCCACCTCCCATCGCCAGAAACAGCGCTCATAAGTTGCTACCATTCATCTGCAGAAGGAACTTTTCCTTTGCGGAGGGGACAAGAGGGCGTGAAGAGTAGCGACGCGGTCCCGGGTTGGGTTACACCGAGGAAAGACACACAGAAAGGAGGTAAAAAAAATAAAGGAGACCAAAAGAAACACACAATTTACCCTACTTCCTCCCTGGTCTCTGCCACCCGGTATGAAGAACATGGAGTGGCTAAGGGGAAGTCGACTCCGAGCAGGTCCCCGTCCCTCAAATCTCTTCCCACTCCAGGTTCGCAGAGGTTAAAAAGCAATCACAGCCCATTTCCCAGCTAACTGTGAGCTGTGACCGTTCCCAGTGCCCAGCAGTTTGTCGGGGGCAGGCAATGCCTCCCGCCAGCCCAGCTCCGCTCGCACCTGGCCGCCCCACGGACAGTCCCAGCCGGCCCCAGCGCTGGAGCAGCCCCGCAGCAGCGCTGCTCCACCAACTTCGCGTCCCTCCGAGCTCCGCGTGTCCCGAGCCGCCCTCCCCGGCGCCGCGCAACCCATCCCGCAGCAGCGCGAGTCGTGCGGGTCCGTGCTCCCTCCCCGCCGGGTACGGAGGCATCTGATTGCCGCCCCCGTAATCTGTTGACACTATCGCCCGGATAAACAGGCTGCCATCGATCTTTTCATTAGGTGATCAAATAACAAACGGAGCAGGTGAAAGACAGCGGCACCGCTCCTCTCGCCCTTCTCCAGCCTGCTGCGAGATGCGCTTGCTCCTCACTTGTGGCCGGAGCTCACCCGCGGCCCGTGGCTGTGCCCCCGAGACCCGCGTGGGTCCGCCCGCGTGCTAAGGGAGCGGGGCGGGGGGAATGGAAGTACCCACGGCAATGCGGGGGGGAAGGCGGGGAAGCGG